AAAAAAAGATTCCCACCACACCCTGGTGGTGGGGCTGCTTTCTGTGGTCTCCATCTGTCTGTGTTCTGTGCTCCTCCCGGAGCTGGCACACCCTTGAGTGTCCTGAGCAGTTCTCGGGCGTCCACCTCCAGACAGCATCCTCCAAACACCTGCTGAAGGCCCACACCCTTAGTGTGGGCCATCTGTGATTCAGCCTGTGCTTACTCATTCTTTGTACCACACTCTCCTATCCCTGCCAGCTAGCCTTCCCCATAATCAGTCACACTCCACCCTCTCCCCAAAACCACCACACTCCTACAATTCTTTCAGCTGATGCTGTCCTCTGACCCAAGCAAGTGAGATGCCATCAGCTATTCTTCCCCTCTCCTATCAAGCTGCTTTTTATTTATGCCTTAATTTCTTCTAAGCCTCCCTTGATAACTTTGCCCATAATGGAAGTATTACAGCATTAAGAATTAGGTAAAAGTGTCCACAGCCATGTGCATGGAAAAGTCCAATGACGTACCAAAAGAGTGAATCCCACCACTGGGAAGATGACCATGAGTTGATTATTTTGTTAGTGCTAAATCCTCTCATCCTTAATAAAAGGTGAAGGATGAGAGAATCCCAAGAACTTCTCACAGTAGCCAACGTAGTTTTCATGACCACTTACCTCATTGCAGTAAAATAATTTAGAATAACTTAGTCTCCTAATGATTTAAGATGTGCAGGAGGAGTCTTAACACAAAGGGACTTCATTTAATGCACTAACAAGAAGTTGTGAACGGTTTGAATTCTCCTTTCTGGGTTGTAGGGGACTTCAAACATCTTTTTTAGAAATGGTTCACCAAGTTATTTTGTTAAGGTCAATGAGACAATAATCAATCTCTCCTATATATCCAAAATTTTGCAAGTGAAAAATAGCTATAATATATTGAAGCAGTACTACTGAACCAAAGGAATCAGAAAATGACATTGTGTCTGGTCTAATGTTTGAAAGTACAAAAACAAAATTTAACCAAATGTGCTTATAAGATACATTTTATAAGTAAACATCTCATTTTTCAAACCATGGCTTTGTTCTCCAACAAGAAGACTGTAATGCTTTCCCTCAGAAACTCAATGGTGTTTTGATTTGGAAGATAGGTAAGATCTAAAGATCAACACTCTCACCTGGCCAGTAGTACATGTAGACCTTCCTTTTGGCCTTAATCAGAGTGACCCACAGAGGTTCTGATCCATTCCACCAAAGAGGCATCAGGCTGTCTCTGTTGACACCGATGTCAAATGACTTGTTGGTTTTGGGATCCCACATGTAATTCCCAGTCATTTGATGGACCTCACAATGGCGCCCTACATTAATGAGAAGGCAAAGCTGTCAGTTAATCATTCTGGGTCTTTTCATTTTTATCGTTGTTTCTTGTTATAAAAGCTACCCCTGCTCATTGAGAAAATACAGAGTAGCATAATAATTGGCTTTGATTTTTTTTTAAATTATAGATACTTTTTCTTAGACTATGCCATAAAGGCAAATAATCCCGTGACTTTCCCACTAATCGACTGAGGGTGGGGTCACTTTGAGTGAAGCTAACCTGTCAAGTCTGAGCTGTTTGAAATCACACCGAGGACCCTGTGTGTTGAGTTTGGCCTTCTGTTCATGACTAGACTCTAAATCTGAATCAGTGTAGAAACAGATTCCTGTGAGACTTGGGTTAGGTTCTCATTCCAGAGCTTTTCCTGTCTCCCTTCCACACCCCTCCCACAAGATCAGCGATCTTTCTCCTTTCTTGGATAAGAGGAGTTATTTCTTCAGTGCTGAACAATCATACAACCTATGACATTTGGAACAGAAGAGTAAAAAATAGATTCAACTTTGGAAAACAAAGCAAGAAAACAGCCCTCCAAATGGAGTGTTCTATAGAAATGAGGGTTGGTCCTGCTGGGCACCCTCAGTCCCAGAAGAGAAGCCAGAAGTGAAAGACGCAAGCACTTGGACTCTTTTGAAACATTAGGCTTAAATTATTTATTTTGGAGCAATCTGTTACATCTTTAAAGTAAAAATAACACAAACATTGGCAAGTGCATCAAAAATTGCTGCAATTTTAGTGAGCATCATTTGGCACCAGGATGAAACACGCTCCCCAAGCTCCCTAACTATGCTTAATCAAAGTGGCTTTTTTTATTTGTTTGCTGTTGTTGTTTCTTCTTGCCCCCCCCTTTATTTTTAAACAAAAATAACAACCACAAAACTACAATTTTGAAAATCTGTACACCAAAAATAACATAAAGGAAAAACATTTTATTTCATCACAGAAAGCAAGTCACTCCACAAACCATGCTTTGAATGCAAAGCCCAAAGATCCAAACAAAATGGTTTTTACCCAAAACTGTAGCTGTGGTAGGTAAAGAGATTCAAATCTGAATAAACCGTCCCTATTTTCAAGTGGCTTGTGATTTAACGCTCAAGAGACAATCTTCTGCATAAGAGATAGGCCTCCTGAGACCTAGGAAGCAGACCAGGTTGAAGCCTTAACCTGAGAATCAGGGTCATCCTCATCCATGTTGCTGAGGATAACTTCTAGTATGTTCTAATTTACTCATTAAGTGCAGACATATTTCTTACTGGTTCAGCTCTGTTATCATTTTTAGTATTTGAGAGTCTAATAATGTTAAGGAAGCCCCTCTCATGGGTAAGGGTTCTTACTGATGTCTTTTATCCACCATAATACACTCCATATCAAAAACTTTTATCATCCTAATGATGCCTCCTCACCTCTCACAGGGCAAGGCAATCATGAGAATATCCATTGGAAAATGTCTCCTTCCAATGTCATTCCCTGTAGGTGCTCTCTGTCGTCCTCCCAAGTGCAGGGAGGGTACATCTCACCGGGAGCTGCTGTGCACAGAAACTTAAAGGATGCAAAGTTGGAAGTGGTAGAAAAGCATTACAGAGGTCAGTGACCAAAGAAGAGTCCTAAATAAACCAGCAGCAGAAGACTTGAAGGACAAGACATGGGAACCATGGGGAGGGAAAACCAGTGGGAGAGATAGAGTCATCTCTGCTTTCAAGTCTGAACTCTTTGGACCATTTTAGGTGACAGAGATGAAACCCAAATAAAAGTGGGGGCCTTGTGTGATAGAGTTTTTCACAAAGTGCTACATTCAAAGAAGGCGAAACCAACCAAAAATAATTGCTAAAGGACTTATAGATCTCTAAAACCCCACACGATATCATTTGGGAAAATGTTCCTCTTCTTTTCAATCTTCTGCTCGGCACTCTGAACCCCCAAGTATCCAAACTCTCTTGCTCTTTAGGTAAAAATGAGGAGCCTCCCGTGAATCATAGAACTGTTTATGAATAGATTGCGTTTGCATGTGGATTGGGGGAGAAAGGGAGAGAACATTCTCCTGGAGAATTTTTGTAGGGTGAAGTCTTTCTTTCAATAAGAAAGCCACCTCAGACTCCTCTGAGGGAGTTGGTTTCTTCTTGTGGATTGGCCTTGAGTTGAAACAGGAGGGTGCATTCTTCAAAGGCTGGATCACAGATGCTGTCCCTGTCCCACGGGGCATCCCTTTGTTCTGGAAGCCAGTAGAAAGCTTCATGCCTCTCATCCCATCTGCCCCCAGTGTCTCTTCCAACTGAACTGACCTTCCTTCCATGAATATAGTGAGGTTGGCAGTTTGTGTCTGTAACAGTCTAAGCCTGCTCTTAGGCAGACTGGTTTACACACACACACACACACACACACACACATACACACCCCGGGTAGAAGTGATGACTGAAAGAACAGAACAGAACAAAACAAAACACAATGTACTCGCTTCTGCAGCCCACAAGCACTCATCTCCATATTCCTGCCTGACCCATATCTATTTTTGTACAACTGCAACTCTTGATTTTTCTGTGGTTTTTGCTTTCCAAACAGAGCTTTGCTATAGTTTGTTTATTTGGACCCTCGGCTCCAGGCTTTAGTAGACACTTTTCCAGACTTCCTCACGAAGCACAAATTTCAGGTGGGTTTTCAGGTATGATGTAAGGAACGTCTATTTCTGTTCCTCCTCCAGGACAACTCTGTAGGCCTTTAACATCTGTGCTTGCCTTTCACTAAGGGGTTCACAGAATAACTCCCACACCTAGAACAGGTGTGTGAAAAAAAAAGCAGGAAATGATGCTTTCATTTTTTTACTCCCCAAAGTCTTATTCGAGTGTGTTCTGATGTAATGCCCCTCACCAGAAGTTTTTAGCAAGTGTGCATAATCCTCTGCACCATGTTATATTCCAAAGCAGTCTGTCTTTCCATCCCATGAGAAAGCAGAGGATCATTTTATCTATAACTGATGGTCATAAAGACTTCCCTAAGATGAATCAGACTCCTTTGAACCCCCTCCTTGACTAGATCTGACCTTGGGCTTCCCTCTCTGACCTTGTGGAGTTCAGTTTGAGCAAGAATCCCGATAAGTCAGCTTAGGGAAAATCCTCCACCATCAGGTTCTGACTACCCTCAATCTTATTGCCCACCTGCCTCCAGCAAGAAGTCCCCCACCCCCATCATGCTCCTTGGCTATACATCCCCACTCTTCCTTATTTGTTTTTTGGAATCTAGTCCAATTTCTCTTCCCACTACAAGATCCCATTTTGCAGTGGGTTCCTAGAGCTATCACAATGAATTCCCCTTGAGTAGAGTCTGATTTATCATCTTTAACAAGAATCATAAATAATTTTCCTTTATTTATTTCCTTTTCATGTCTTTCAGCTTTTCTCGTTATTTTTATGTAATGTGTTAATTCCTTTTGTAGTTTATTTCTTCATTTATTTTTTTTTATTTTTAAATTTCATTCAACATGCATCCTATGGCTTGGGTAGGGTGAGTCCTCCAAATGTTGATATACTGGAATCTGGGTCCCCAGTGTGGAGGTGTTGGGAGGTAGTGGAACCTTTAAAAAATGAGGTCAAGTGGGAGGTCATGAGGCCATAGGGCACCACCCTTGGAAGGGAATAATGTGGTTCTCCCAGGACCAGTTAGTTCTTGAGAGGACAGATGATTATAAAGTGAGATCACCCCACATGATTGGCCCCTTCCACATAAGGCTCTTTCACTTTCTGCTTCTCCACCACGTTGTGATGCCATCAGGAGTCTTTTATCAGAATGCTGGTGCCAAGTTAGACCTTGTATCACCAGAATCATGAGCCAAATACACCTCTTTATAAGTTCTGCAGCCTTGGGTATTTTGTTACTGTAACGAAAAATGACTGAATACAGTGAAGTTATTAAGTCATTCACATGCTAGGCAGATAAAGATCAAAAGATTTGGTCTTTGTGTTTGACTAGTTGCAGCCTGGTATGGACAACGATATGGCATAGTGGTTTGGGAAACAGACCTTGGAGTCAGACTGCACAGGTTCCAGGATAAGCCCTTCTGTTTACTATCTGCCTGATCTTGGTCAAGTAGCTTGGACGCTCTAAAACTTCAATTTCCTTATCTGAGTAATGGTCATGATAACAGTTACTGTGAAACATACAGATAAGCAGCCCTCCCTTGCATGGTACTATGGGACCGTAAAAATGACCCTGCAAACCATGCAAAGTTATCGTAATAATCAGTGGGGGAAATTACAATTGTTCCATGACCATTAAAATTTTTTATAAAACTATTTAAAGTTCTCTGTCAGCTACAACTGTATAGGGAGATGAAGAAAACAATAATATGATCATTTACTAGTGTATTGTAATTTAAAATATTAGAAACATTGAGAATTAATGAGTCAGGGTTAGGGTTAGAAAAAAAAAACTTAGAAAAGATGATTTGAACAGCACTTGCTTGTCCTCCGAAATGGTTAACAGAAGTGGACTTTTTCCCTACACGTTGGTGAATTGAATTGTTCTACCCTTACCTAAACACTTTTCATCCTCTGGGTTCTCCATGTCATGAAATACCCTCAAGAGTTCCTTAATGTGAAGCTTTTGCTGGTGTCACCTCCTCAGGGACGTGTTCCTCCTTCATGGCATAACCCCTTTCCTCATTTCTGTGGTTTGAATTTGGTTTGTCCTCCTAAGGTCCCTGGGCTAGAAGCTTGATCCTCAGAGCAGCTCTGTGCAGATGGCGGGAGCTTTAAGTGACAGGGCCTATGGAGGGTGATTAGGTCACATGGCTCCACCCCCGTGAAAGGATCGACGCTCTCATGGAAGTGGGTCAGGTCTGCCGTGACTAGATTAGTTCTCATAAGGACACATTGTTGGGCTGAGGTTGTAGCTCAGTGGTAGAGCACTTGTCTAGCATGTGTGAGGCACTGGGTTCGATCCTCAGCACCAAATAAAAATAAATAAAATAAAGGTATTATGTCCATTTACCAC